GCCTAGCTCACAGCAACCTCAAACTCCTGGGCTCAAGCGATTTTCCTGCCTCAGCCTCCCAAGTAGCTGGGACTACAGGCACGAGCCACAACACCCGGCTAATTTTTATTTCTATTTTTAGTTGGCTTGCTAATTTTTTCTATTTTTAGTAGAGATGGGGTCTCACTCTTGCTCAGAGCTGGTCTCGAACTCCTGAGATCAAGCGATCCTCCCGCCTTGGCCTCCCAGAGTGCTAGGATTACAGGTGTGAGCCACCACGCCTGGCCTAGATCTCCATTTCTTTAGGTTCAGTTGATGGAATTTTATTAGTTTTATTTAGTGGTATCATGGTTTCCTGATTATTCATTATCCATGTAGTCTTGTACTGGTGTCTGTGCATTTGAAGAACCAAGCACCACTTCCAGTCTTTACAGATCGGTTTCAGAAGATTAAGAACTTCTGCTAGATTCCTGAGTTAATGGAATTGCCTCTGGGATCATGGTCAAATGGGGTTGGAACTGGATCACATGGCTGCTGCTTTGTCTGCAGTGGGGTCTTCAGGCGGTGGACCTGTTATCGGGGGGGTTCTAGTGGCTGTGAATCCTGTTTGGTTCCTGAGGAGATGGGACTGTCTCCAGGACCTTGGTCCATAGGGCTGTGCTGGAATGAAGGTCCACCTCAGGGTCTGTAGACAGTGGGCCTGTTACTGGGTATACAGTGAGGTATGGCTTCCTCTGGGTTCCTGGGAAGCTTCATGCTGTGTCACCGGGTGGGTCTCTTGGCAGGTAGTACTTCCCTGGTCCGTGGTTCCATGGCTGAGAGGGGATGGAACCAAGTTGCAGAGGTATCTCAGGGGCTGCAGACAGGCATTTCTCTCTCTCTATGTCCCTGTGCCACTGGCAAGAATGATCTCTGACCATTGCTGGGAGGGGCTGGAGCCAAGTTTCACAGCCATTTCAGGGTCTGCTGTGGGACTGAGGTTGGTAAGCGTGCCCTGGGAACTCAGGTGAGCTGAGTTCTCCTTCTGGAACCCTATCCTGCCAGCAGGACTGGTTTCTGACCACTGTTGAGAGGGGCTATAGTCAAATTTCAGAGCAATTTCTGGTAACGCTGCTGGGACTAAGGTCAGCAGGTCTGTCACTTGAGGTATGAGTGAGTGTGACTTCTGCCTGGTCCCTGGATGAATGATTCTGGTAACAGGATCAAAACAAAACAGGGCTCAGAGTTCAGTTTACAGGGAGATGAGCCATTTCCAAATCTATAGTCAGAGCCGTGGTCAGTGAGTCTGCCAGCTGGGTGCAGTTTTGCCCTCTCAAAAGGCCCTCCTCAGTCTTGGGCTGCACCAGTGTTTCACAGCCCAGAGTTCTTGTATGTGGATCCCAGAGTTCTTGTAAAGACGCTTTTGTCTGTAGATGGCCATGAAATTAATGTTGCTGTGGAGGGATATGAGAGATATGAGAGGGAAATCTCCTATTCTACTATCTTGCTGACAACACTTTGCTATTGTTTTTATTTCAAGGTTTTAAATATGGTAGCCAGGTGTGTTGGCTCACACCTGTAATCCAAGCACTTGGGGAGGCCAGGGTGGGAGGATGGCTTGAGAAAAGGAGTTTGAGACCAGCCTGGGCAACACAGCGAGATCCCATCTCTACAAAAAATAAAAAAAAAATTAGCTGGGCATGGTGGCGCATGCCTGCTGTCCTCATTTTTTGGGATGCTGAGGTGGGAGGATCACTTGAGCCCAGGAGTTCAGGGTTATAGTGAGCTATGATCACGCCACTGCACTCTAGCCTGGATAATAGAGCAGGACCTCATCTCTTATTAAATAAATAAATAAACAAGGTTAAAGTATAAATAAATGCCAAATTTATGATGGGTGGACTGTGGTTTGTACTGTGTTGACTTGGTTAAGCTAGAATTATGTTTCCCTGAATCCTTTTCCCTGTATAGTTCTGGGTTAAAGTTGACACAAAGAGGAATTTGTGCAATATTTGGAAGACATAATTTAAGTAGAAGCCATTACTCTGTGAAGGTCATCCTACTTAGATGTGGTCACAAACTACAGAGAGGCTAGGGGGTTCCAGCTTGTCCTCACTCCTCTGCCTTGTGTCTAGTTCTTCTTTCCAGTGTCCATTTCTTCCTCCCAACTTCTGATCATGTTGGCAAACAATGGCCCTGGGCCTACCACCAGGTGCTTGGCAGCACACTGTGAAAGGCAGTTGCTACTCAGAGGCACAGCTTCCCATGGACATTCCCACAAGCCTTTCTTCTCCAGTCTCATTGTGGCAGTTGGACAAGGTGGCTTCTCAGATTAACTGACTGGTAACTTCTCTGATTCTCTAATTTCTCTCCTGAACCTTCACTTCCTCAGCTCTTCCTATAATTATGTAAGATTTAATAAGTCCTATAATAAATTTCTTATCCCATACCTGATAGTGGTTATTCCCACATTGAACCTTGACTGGTAGAAAGAGGAGAAGTCTTGACGGAATTTGAGCCTGTTTCACCTGTTCCTGAGACCCAGTTACAACTTTGTGCTTCCTATATTTAGTTGTTCAAACATTATTTGGATTCCGTTTATGAAACAAAATTTTTTTCCTTAAGCTAATTTGCCTTGGTTTTCAGGTATAAATCAAAAGAACTGCAATTAATACCATATGGCAATGTTAATTATGGGTTTCTTGCATTTTTGCATGTCTGTGTATAGAGACACAAACTGCCATGTTCCAAACTATCTTTTTAAGGATATTTATATAGCAAACAACCTTGGAAGATATAGTAGCTCCCTCTGCAAAGGACAAAGGTGCAAAGGACAGCATGCTTTACTGTCCATTTAAAAATATTTGGTTCCTTAAATTCTTTCCTGTAATGCAGCCCACTGTCGGTGCAGACATTATCTGGTCCTCTTCACACTGCCCTCGGGAAACAATGTGAAAATGAAGATACTCTGCTATTGCTATAAATAATAAATAAATAAATAATAAAATGTCCTTTGTCTCTAACACAAGGGACATGAAACTGTTGTGGGCTAACTTGTCAGGTTGCATAGTGAAATCTCAGATCCTTATTCATGAGAATAAGATGATTTTAGACTGGTATAATTTCACAAGTACTGTTCACTGGGCTTTCAAACAGAACAATGTATATAGCTATGATATGGAGTAACATTTTAATACACAAATAAATATGTTAGGTTTTTAAGAAATAAATTCAATTTATTATATCATCATACCATAACAATTACTTTATATGCATAAATCTCTTTATTTCTAATTTGTAATATAAACAAGAATTTGGTATGGATGCTTTGGTTGTAGTAACAGAAACAAAACTCTAGTTTATGCAAAAAGGAGAATTTATTATAAAATTACAAGGGTACCTTAACAAAGCCAAGAACAACAGCTAAAGCCAGGCCTCGGGGATGGCGGCCAGTAATAGAAATCAAATCTTGCTAGCTTAAGCAAAAAAGGGAGTTTATAATTAGGATACAAGACTATCTTACCAAGTCAAGGGAAGGGATTATAGCCATGCTTCCTGAAGAGCTGGAGCAAGGGAATGAAACTGTTAGAAAGCCAGGAATCACACTCAACAAATGTCTCGGGTCACTTTTCACTTTGCAAATGCTTCATTGCTCTCTCACTGCAGATTTGCTGTTTTTACTTCCTAAGCCACATGGTGGGACATGGCAATCTATACATCCCAGTTTATATTTCTTCTATTCCAGAGACTAGTCAGAGCAAGGCTAGACTCTTTTGTCCCCAGCTCCAAATTTCTAGGGAAGTTTTAGGACCTCAACAAAATTAGAGATAACTTCCTTCTATGGGATAGGCAGTAAGATGGAAGTATCAGGACACCAAGAGACAGAGGCAATTAAAATTTTTGTTTTTACTGCTCCTTACAGAGCTCGTGCTGAAATAGCTTACTTAGATTTAGAGGTGGATGGAGATAGATGTGCCCAGAACCCATAGCACACTTTGTGGAAATGACCAGCTTCAAAAGAGAGAAATATTCTAATTCCTTTTAATATTTCCCTTGGGACAGAAATAATAGGCTTGGATAATGCTACTATCTTGGACAAGTTTCTTTGCATTTGTCCTAATAGATATGATTTATCTCCTGGGAAAGTATGGAAAGGTCTTAGTATGAGTAGTTTAAGCACAAAAGGTAATATTATACTTTGTTAATTAATAATTTTTCCCAAGAGAAAGATAAAAAGGGGTTAATTACATGGAGAATGTTTAAGAAAAAGGAAAAAAGAAAAGATTAATTACATGGTGGGTGTCAGAAATCCCTCACAACCATAAATAGAAATCCGACGAAAGATATCTCAGATTGGAGAGAAACTGATTGATCTAGCTTGAGTCAAGTTCCTATGAACCATCTTCATCATAGTAGGGTGAGGGCTCGGTGGCCATTCTGAGAAACAGAGATAGGAAAGGGAAAAGAAAATTATTTTCTGGATTCTTTACAGTGTTTTTACAGTGTTTCAGGCTCCCTTGCAGGAGCAAAATTATATGGCTTACCAAAAGCATAACATGATAATATATGAGTGGTAGGTGATTTATGTATTTTAAATTTAGAAGAGCTAATAGAAGTATTCCACCCAGCCCCACCCACATTGAAATAAAACTGAAAACATCAAAAGTATAAGGAAATGCTATAGGTGTTTTATTCAAAAATATATTATTTTGTGCTGAAGATTCCTTAAATTATTTTTCCTGTATGTTGACATACATTCCTATTATTTATTATGTCTTTTGATGAGATACAAAGAGTTAAACTTAATGTTCGTGATAGCACTCTAGTTCTTGCAATTTTGTTTCTAGCAATAACCAACAAGGAAAGTAGGACCATTCTGTGGTAAAGAACAAGAAAAGTAATATTAGCATGGACATGTTAAGAGACTCAGAAGCTAGTAATTCAGTTTTAACTTTACCCGATTTCAGTTAATACAAAATTTCAAAAGAAAAAAGTCATTCAATGTCAGGTTGAAGGTTTTGTATTTCAACCTCTGTGTTTCTTCATGAACATATTTCTTTAATGCTGCCATCTTTCTGATCATCATTTAGTGTCATATTCAGTACATTTTGACCAGATTGATCTAATGAAATGGTTGACAGGTATGAAAATACTTTTTCCATTAGCGGTTCCGTGAGAAAAGGCATTGGAGAGTTCTTTTTCACTAAAGAATCGTCAGAAAACCAGTCATCAGCTGCTTCTATACTTTGGCTGTAATAAGAATCAGATGGCAATGTTGATAAGCTTAATGTGACACTGCTGCAATTTGTTGCTGAGCTAGTCTCTGAGGGGTCACAAGTGACCTTTTCTGTTGCAAGGCAGAGTTCATCTTTAGAGTTATCTTTAATTGCTGTAAAAAAATTAGATTTACTCGATTTACTATGAATATTACATATTCATAAGCCAAATCCTAATTATAAGGACAATGTTATAATGGGCAAGATAATGCTATAAAGAAAAACCTCAGTTGCTATCATCATCCATGCAATGTTACTTGTAATTAGGAATTAGCAATAGTTTCATAATACTCAAGAGTAGAAAAGTTTATTCTAAATAAAATCAACTGTTTTCACAAGCACATATGCCAAGTAGGCTAGAAATCTCAGTTCTGAAATGTTTCTTAAAATTAGAAAAGGCAGATAGTTTCTTAATTATTGATAGCTAAATATTTCCTTATTAAAAAAATCAGCTAAAAAAACACACACCTCCTTGAACAGGCAGATTACAAAATGTTTGGTCGGCATTGGGAAGGGCCTATGAATTGGCTCTATACCAATAATAGTAACAAACATTCCTATAGAGCCTTATAATTTGCAGAGCATTTTGATATACTTCTATATCTTATTTATGCTCTCAACAATTCTGTAAGGTAGCTATTATTAGCACCACTTCACAAAAGAAGAAACAGATTTAGAGAAATGACCCATCACAGATCAGATACAAAATGAATTTCAGCCTAGATTTTTATTACTCTAAGTCTTATGTTTTTCCCATTATATTACTTAGTCTTTATACTTGGCATTAAAAATGTCAAGTTTTAGAAAATATCACATTGATATACTATCCTAAAGAATGTTTTATAATATTTTACATATTAACTTTTAATATTTTCCACACTAATTTTTAAAGCTGTTTTAAATACCTTATTATGTTTTATATTCAGGATTTCTAAAATTATGTAGCAGGTAATGTTTTGAGGGACAAAGACATGTGTCTTTTGACCCTGAGGCATCACTATATGGCATTGACTATGACACCTTGGGGTATACATAAGAGATAAAAATAAAAATTTCACATTTTAAGATATGACATTGCAAGTTTTCTTTTTCTAAAAAGCAGATGCCCATTCACATACTAATAAATTAATGTTTCCCTTAAATTTTCATGGCATTTAAAATACTTAGATAACATTTAGGATAGCCTCTTGATTCGTTAAGATTGCTAAAGTTGATTAAGATTTCTTCTAATAAATTGTTGAGAAAAAGTACCTTTTATACGTGCTGCTTCCTGTTTTCTTTGCTCCTCCTACATAAAAAAGTTATTTGTATTTAAAAAACTGAATAGCTTTTATATAACATTTGATATATTTATATGAGAGTAATAAATTTGAACACCATAAATTTTGATGGGAAATGTTTTTTCCACAATATGAATTTCTTTCACCAAAATATGTTAACAGAAAAGGAAAAATGTTGAGGTATCATCCGAAGAGAATTTGGATTGGCCCAAGAAGACAGTCTCCAGGAACTACAGTTCAAACGGGATCACTTCTCTCCATCCTCACTAACTTAGAGTCATTAGGTAGAACTAGAGAGGGCTAACAAATAATTAGAATTCCTAGACTTATTTAATTAACTAACAACAACAATAACAAAAAAGTGAATTCTGGCTGAAGGCCTTTATAAAAATGGGAATATTCTTTTAAAGCAAATCAAACATTGCTTAAACAATACATTCCAGATGCATTCTGGGAAGTGTAGTGGAATAGTAGTTCTCAAACTTTAGGGTATTAGAATCACCTGGCATGCTGGTTAAAATTCTGATTCTTGAGCATAATATCAGACCTTACCAAAAAAGAGTCTCTGGGAGGGCTTGGAAGTATGCATTGTAACATATCCTGCAAGTGATTCTAACTCTGGTTTTCCTCAGTCTACTAAAGAAACAATGGGCTAGTGTACGGGGTGTTTGGGATGGAGTGGGGTAAGATGAAGCTGGAGACATAACATTATCTCTTGTGTTCTGGGGGAAAAGCAGTTAATGCTCTGTGCTGATCTGCATTGTCCTGTCTCCCAGAAAGGCTTACTTGGAACACATATAATGCATTCTAACACGTAAACACTTTTCTCAAAACCAACTTCGATTCTTTGTCATTTTCACCCTTTATTAACAAATGCCGGTATGGGCTTCTGAACTTACCTTGCCTGGAATTGGGACCAATTCATTTTGTGACTCCTGTATAAATCACATTAGAATATTGCTTCTCAGACTTTATTGCACTGAGAAATTATCCTGGGAGCTTGTTAAAATGCAGATTCTAACTCAGTAGGTCTGAGGTGGGGTCTGAGATTCTACATTTCTATAAGGCTCACCTAGGTAATGCTGATATTGCTGGTCTGGGAACCAAAGAATAAGGCCCCAAATTCTATCCAAACTAAGGGGATGACAAAAGAGGCATTCTTACATACTGCTACACAGGCATAGGTAGAATTTTTTTGGAGTGAAATTTAACAAACCCACTTCTAGAAATTTATTATGCCAATGAAATAATTTTGGTTTTGTGTAAATATTCAGTTACCAGATGTTCATCCAACATTGTTTAGCATTTTTTAAAACCTGCGATTTAAAATTCCAAGTGTAAGGAAATAGTTAAATGCATTATGATACACAGATGGTAATACGATGAATATTCTTTTAACTATTACAAATGATTCTATATGTCGGTAAGGAGGAACTAAAAAAATGGTGGGAACATATCAAAAAGATAGAGACACAATCTTGAAGAGGTGCCTACTAATTAAATTTGGGAAAATTTGAACATCAAAATAATGACAATAATTGATTATGATCTTCTGAATAAAATAGTAATCCATGAGTCCATAGTGATAATAAACAAATAAAATAAGGGAGAAGGGAGAGCCACTCCCTGACATTCATAGAAACACAAATGACAATCGTGGACAGGAGAGGTAGAGTTGGAAAACCATCATTTTAGTACAGTTTAGTAAAGATGGGCTCAGGCATGAATAATTTCTATAGCTAGAAAGTAAACTTGATAAGGAGAAGGATATTTGCATGGTTTCAAAGTGTCTCCATACAGATTGCTTATTAATTGCAAGTGTAAAAATAGGAATAATATAGTGGGGCAAAAACAGACATTATCTTGATTGTGTGATCAAACTAAAATCTCTAATTAAGGACAGACAAACACTGTATGCCTTCAAATGTGATAAACTAGGTGGGGCATGGTGGCTCACACCTGTAATCCTAGCACTTGGGAGGTCGAAGCAGGTGGGAGGATTGCTTGAGGCCAGGAGTTCACGATCAGCCTGGGCAACATAGCGAGACCCTGTCTCAACAACAAAAAATCAGCCCGGCGTGGTGGCTCAGAACTGTAGTCCCAGCTACTTGGGAGGCTGAGGTAGGAGGATTGCTTGAGCCCAGAAGTTTGAGGTTGCAGTGAGTTATGATGGTGCCACTGCACTCTAGCCTGGGTGATAGCAAGACACTGTCTTGGAAAAAAAAAAAGGGGGTAAACTGAATCTGATCACATGGAAAACTCAAACTAGGAATAACCTACTATTTATGAAATAATTTGTTTGTATTCTTCAAAATTGACAATCTCATGAAAGACAAAGAAAGGCTGAAGAATCGTCCCTGATTAAAGAAGACTGAAGAGATGTGACAATTAAATGCAAATGTGATTCTGGACTGGATCCT